GTTAGTATTGTACAATTGACGTTGGTTTGTGTGTTAGTATTGTACAATTGACGTTGGTTTGTGTGTTAGTATTGTACAATTGACGTTGGTTTGTGTGTTAGTATTGTACAATTGACGTTGGTATGTTTGTTGGTATTCTTTAATCGACGGGTTAACTTTGTATAAGACATTCTGTTATTCTTGTATTTCAGTTCGTGGTCGTTCTGTTGTTAGGGCTTTATTTGTACGGCATTCTGTTATTGACGTACTTGTAAGTAACTTCTTGGTTGGTCTGTTTCCTTTAAAGGCATTTTGTTGTAAGGGGTCGCGGGTAATTTGTTGTTAGAGCTTTATTTGTAGGGCATTCTGTTATTGACGTACTCAGTACTTGTTGATCAGATCGTGGTTGTTCGGTTAGGGTTTTATTTGTCGGTATTCTGTAATGAACGTACTTGTTCGTAACATTATGAGTATTCTGATGTTATGGTGCGAGGGAATTCCATAAAAATGTTGTAAGTGTTTTGTTTGGTATTCTGTTATTGGGATATTATCTGTAGAGTATTCCGGTAAGGACGTACTTATACGGACTTTGTGGGTATCCTGTTATTGGGTTTGTAATGGAAGGGTATTTATTTATTGACACATTTATTTAGAAATTGTAGTTATTCTGTTATTAAGATTGTGTTTTTAGGGTATTCTGTTATTGGGGTTGTATTTTTAGGGTATTTTATTTTGGGGGTTGTATTTGTAGGTTATTAAGTTATTGTCGTTCTTATACGGAAATTTTGGGTATTCTGTTTATGAGATTTTATTTGTAGGCTATTTTGTCATTGACTTTCTTCTGCAAAAGTCTGTGGGTATTCTTTTATCGGGAATCTACGGATGTTCGAGGGTATTTTGTTATTGAAATATTATTTATAGGGCATTATGTTATAGGGATATCATTTGTAGGGTATTTTGTTATTGGGATATTATTTGTAGGGTATTTTTGTTATTGGGATATTATTTGTAGGGTATTTTGTTATAGGGATACTATTTGTAGGGTATTTTGTTATTGGGATACTATTTGTTGGGTATTTTGTTATTGAGATATTATTTGTAGGGTATTTTATATTGGGATACTATTTGTAGGGTATTTTGTTTTTTGGATATTATTTGTAGGGTATTTTGTTATTGGGATATTATTTGTAGGGTATTATGTTAGTGGGATATTGTTTGTAGGGTATTTTGCTATTGGGATATTATTTGTAGGGTATTTTGTCATTGAGATATTATTTGTAGGGTATTTTGTTATTCGGATTTTATTTGTAGGGTATTTTGTTATAGGGATATTATTTCTAGTTTTTTTTGTTATTGAGATATTATTTGTAGGGTATTTTGTTATTGGGATATTATTTGTAGGGTATTTTGTTATCGGGATATTATTTGTAGGGTATTATGTTATAGGGATACTATTTGTAGGGTATTTTGTTATTCGGATTTTATTTGTAGGGTATTATGTTATTGGGATACTATTTGTAGGGTATTTTGTTATTCGGATTTTATTTGTAGGGTATTTTGTTATTGAGATATTATTTGTAGGGTATTTTGCTATTGGGATATTATTTGTAGGGTATTTTGTCATTGAGATATTATTTGTAGGGTATTTTGTTATTCGGATTTTATTTGTAGGGTATTTTGTTATAGGGATATTATTTCTAGGTTTTTTTGTTATTGAGATATTATTTGTAGGGTATTTTGTTATTGGGATATTATTTGTAGGGTATTTTGTTATCGGGATATTATTTGTAGGGTATTATGTTATTTGGATACTATTTGTAGGGTATTTTGTTATTCGGATTTTATTTGTAGGGTATTTTGTTATTGAGATATTATTTGTAGGGTATTTTGTTATTGGGATATTATTTGTAGGGTATTTTGTTATTGGGATATTATTTGTAGGGTATTATGTTATTGGGATACTATTTGTAGGGTATTTTGTTATTCGGATTTTATTTGTAGGGTATTTTGTTATTGAGATATTATTTGTAGGGTATTTTGTTATTCGGATATTATTTGTAGGGTATTTTGTTATTGGGATACTATTTGTAGGGTATTTTGTTATTGGGATATTATTTGTAGGGTATTATGTTATTGGGATACTATTTGTAGGGTATTTTGTTATTCGGATTTTATTTGTAGGGTATTTTGTTATTGAGATATTATTTGTAGGGTATTTTGTTATTCGGATATTATTTGTAGGGTATTTTGTTATTGGGATACTATTTGTAGGGTATTTTGTTATTGGGATATTATTTGTAGGGTATTATGTTATTGGGATACTATTTGTAGGGTATTTTGTTATTCGGATTTTATTTGTAGGGTATTTTGTTATTGAGATATTATTTGTAGGGTATTTTGTTATTGGGATATTATTTGTAGGGTATTTTGTTATTGGGATATTATTTGTAGGGTATTTTGTTATTCGGATTTTATTTGTAGGGTATTTTGTTATAGGGATATTATTTCTAGGTTTTTTTGTTATTGAGATATTATTTGTAGGGTATTTTGTTATTGGGATATTATTTGTAGGGTATTTTGTTATCGGGATATTATTTGTAGGGTATTATGTTATAGGGATACTATTTGTAGGGTATTTTGTTATTCGGATTTTATTTGTAGGGTATTTTGTTATTGAGATATTATTTGTAGGGTATTTTGTTATTCGGATATTATTTGTAGGGTATTTTGTTATTGAGATATTATTTGCAAGATATTCTGCTATTAAAGTTCTTACAGGAACGTTTTGGGTATTCTACAATCAGGATTGTATTTTTAGGATATTCATTTTATTGAAGTATTTAAACAAAAAAACTGTGGGTATTCTTTCATTGAGATATCATTTATAGCTAATTCTGGTTATGGATTTTATTTGTGAGTTTTTTGTTTTTAAAGTTCTTGTGCAGAAGCGTGTGGGTAATCTGTATTTGTGATTGTATTAGTAGGATATTCTGTTATTGACGTACTTATACGGAAATTGTGGGTATTCTGTTTTTCGAATTATATTTGTAAGTAAGTCTGTTATGGTAGGGTAGCCTGTAGTTGACGGATATAGATGAATTAGTGACTGTGTGTGAACAGCTGCTTTTATCATGGTCGATTAACCCTTTTCTATGTCGTACACAATCAAAACCTTTCTGAGCCTTTCAATCTGTTATACAATTTTTACACCTTTTACTGATTAATAATTCGCAATTAGCCAGTACTGCTCTGATATTTATATTCAATGCAGAATTCGTACTTTGATACGTAATTAAGAACATACCTCCACTTCTGTTTCAACTGTATTTTTGACCAATTCGGATTTTCAACATTTTTAGCCCCTTGCATTCCCGATGTCTCCTAGAAGACGAAACAGATGTGGTGTGCAGTACGTTTTTGGAATACTGCATTTATAACCAGATTTTATGCTTGCAATTACATGTCTGTGTCTTGCGCAAATAAGGTTGGTACATTACTTCTTAGGCAAGAAAATTAAAGATCGAGGTGGAATAAACAACGTCATGATTTAAGTAGTGTTACGATTCCGTAAAGGTCAAACTATGGAGCTAGCGTAGAGGAATCTGTGAGGTCTGCATGTGGACATCGCTCTTTCGTGTTTGTCGAGGAATTTACATAACTAATAACATTTATCGGCATGTCTTACACCGTTTTCATTATGACTTCCAAAAAATGTGAAGTAGATCAGAGTACAAAAAGGTTTAAGAGATGAACTTCGTAGCCAGCAGTGAGTGTGATTAACGCATTGCTTGTTTTTATATGACGTACGGCCAATCAGATTTTGTTTCTCTATACTGCAAGCACGCTATCGATATAAACGATAAAAAAACCAAAAACGAAACAGTTTCTTTTTGTTTTACATACTATTTATTGTACAACAAAGGTTGAAATTTAACAATTTACATAAATTAAAGCGACTTATTGATAGATATTCGTCATACTGAAACATAGCACAAGATAACTTCTATAAATAAATCTATAAATTAAAATATTATACAATTACACAAAGATCTGAGTCGATACGTGCCACGTAGTTACAAAGTAGACACTCATATCCATACGCCCAATTGCTAATTGCAGTGAACGATAAATAGGCGCGATGTTTAATGAACACTTAGCTAGTTCAGCAGATACATGTCCCAAGTCATTGATAGGTCTGGTACTGGCAGTGTGTTGTCGATGGATGCGTAAAACACTAGAAGAATTGTTCAGTATACTGTGTTATATCCATCTGGAAAATGGCAATGTGGCCACAATTATCACAAACTAGGTGCTGGAATATTAGTCTTGATCTTTTGCTAAGAGAGAAATTCTATGAAAGCGAGTTGTACTTTCTTTCCTTTTTGGTTTTGTGTTGTAATCATTGCACTCGAAAAACATATCTCTGTTAAACCAACAGAAATTAACCAATAGTCATTACTTAAATGATCGACCGTCTTCATTTGTACAAAAGATTTCTCGATCACTGTACATTGCGGAAAAACGTTCAACATAGTGTCATTAAACAAAAATGAAGGACTCAATATATATAGCGTTTCGCTCTCTCTCGTTGGATGACTTACAAGACATGAAAAACTGATATCGTCATAAATGTGAACATTCGTGACATATACGACAAGAATGTGAACATTGTTGACATACATGATTAAATGTATACATCGATGTATTATATTGTAATACAACGTACAGATCACGTGATGCTCAAAATGTAAATACGGGACATGTAAACACAAACTGTAAAACAAAGACTGTAAATAACAGGGAATGTTAAAGAAGGGTAAGTAAGAATTGACGACCAAGTCAGCAGACACAAATTATAAGTCAGGTCTGTGACGTGTTTTGTGTTAGTCTGAAAATCGCGATTATATATAAAATATGACGTTTCTTGCGTCTAGTGTGTACATGGGATAGTTTTGTCACGTGTATAAACTAACCGCAGTAATATTCAGCTTCCGTGGAATACAAACAGTAGATGCAAATATTATTTGACCATTGTATCGCAATAAATCCGAAAAAATAGCATAGATTTATGTAGTAAATGCACTGATTAAACTGGGTCCGACGAGAGCATTCTGTTATCTTCTTCCCGGAAACGTAAAATCAAGTTGATTTGCATTTTCCCATGAAGAATGACCCTAGTATGTTGTCCGGGTCGCCCTGTATAGCGTACGAGGTTATCTGAGTCACCCAACGTAAGGGAGTCAATATTTGAGTCACTCAATGTGCAGGAGTCAATATTTGAGTCAAACATCGGAATGAAAGAAGAGCACAAGAAGGAGTGATGACGGATACTTAAAAAGTTATATAACTATGAATATAAAGCTACGACGTACAGCTATAATATACTCAGGTGACAGACATGTCCAGCATCCACAGCGTTCTATATGTGTATAACGTCATAGATTCAACGCCATAGAAACGAATTGCAATGATCAAAACACTGATTCCATCGAAATATCACGTATAACGCCCTTAACTGCAAAGCAGCATGGCCGGTATCCAAACCATTCAACTTCTATGTGCACGATCACCGAATCAATCACATGGAAACGTGTGTCGACGTACCGCATCTACCTCGGGCACTTGGATTGATAAAGGTGGTGGGAATCATGTCAGGATTCGATGATAAAGAAGACGAGACACATGTGATTCACTGTCATTACTCATTCTACACTAAAGTACGAATTCTGCATTGAGTAGAGTTTGTCAATAGGGTTAGGAACCCCACTTGAGTCTATCGAGGAATGCCCTGTCGTATCGCCGTTAAACATATGGTCCAGGCAGTCCTCCATAGAATGGCGTGCTCCTCCGGGGAGGTCCAGTTCATCATACGGGGACGCTATAACAGAAAGCACTTAGACTTATAATGGAGTTATGGTGGGGAAATGAACATCAAAATGGAAGATGACATTGCATGGCATTTTTGCTCGGCTTCATAATTAGAAGAATGACCAATGAAATCAGGTGAAGACTCAAAAAAACATTTCCCACTCTTAGCATGTTTATCCAGTGAGTTCCGTTTTCTATTTTGTCTATAAGCATTTCAATATAAACGTGTTTACATGACCACTGTGGTATGCACCAATGCTTGTTGTCTTTTGCGATTAACCGCATGTCATCCATCGTTCCGACAGAATGAAGAGAAATGGCATGATGTCACGACATTGTGACAGATGTATTTTTTAATTCTCCTCCTCGTTATACTGGATATCTTAATCCTTCCCGACGTTTTCTCATCAGTTCGACACTATCTCGCTTAATAAACACTTCGAGACTTATCTCATTTAAATGTCCCTTTTGTCGTTGTTTATTTTGTAAATGTGTTAACCAGTCTGTTAACATACAATATATGTTATGATTAACACTACTGTGGGTAAACGTTTAGCTACAATGACGATTGCTGAATTTCAAATAACAATTCTTAGTAGATTGTTACGTATAAAGCAAAAAAAAGATTTACACAATCCAAAAAAAAGACTGCCAAATGAGGGCCGAATATCAGGGAAAACTGACTCATTTCGATCTATTTAACAAGAACACCTCGGCTCTCGCTTGATTAGTCAGATATACGAGAAGGCTACATGGTCAGGCTTATACAGGTTACTCCATTGTATTATTTATTTGAAGAAACAAATATTTAATAGATTTACAACTGTTCCATGTCTAGGATGACAACTAAGTGTAAAGTAAATACCATGAAATACTAATTTCAAACAGCTCATATATAGCCCTAAATACGCTGTACAAATTATCAAGTCTGCGACTATAATGGGCCAGTCAGTTTTTCATTTGAAAGATGACAACATGCTGTGTTGAATTTTTTTCGAAATTATTTATTGATCAGCAGAATCTTTTGTTACCTTGATATTCGCTGGCAGGAAGTGGCGATATTTGTTCTGCATTGCCATGGTGACGGTTTTCGGATATCAGTGATCCTGCAAAGTAAGTCAGAATTAAAATGATGTAGTTTGACCTCCTAGAATGAATATCGTTAATTTGTTATTTGTGAGATGTTACGAGTCATCCTAAGTATAAAGCACGTGTATGACATCTACCAACATCAATTTCTGATGATTGTGAGGTATGCTATTTATTCGGATACAGTGACATATTGATAACAGTTATTGAAACACATTTTCTTAAAATCTTTATAGCGAAAATGAATTCGTAAAACTATTCGCAAAAGTAAGGAACACATCTCTATCCGCCAAGTTACAGAATTATTGTAAATTCTTACCAATAGATTCATCGTCGCCAAGTCTAGTGAGGCAATCTGTAGGAATAGTAAGAAAACATAAGTTATACAGTATGTAAAAGACAACGTGTAAGGAAAGAGAGAAAAAATAGATCATACAAAATTATAAATTGTATACTAGATAGAAAACGGGGAGTAAAGAAGACAGAACGAATAAGATAAAAAAAAAAAATGTCCTAGACAATTGGCAAGGAGAGAGAGAGAAAACATAATCTATCTAATGTATGCCAGAGACTTGTAATGATTGAGAGAAAATCAAATCTATATATTGTTTACGCTTGATTCATCGAGTAAGGCATGTTATTTTTATTTTACCTTACCCTGAAAGTAAGGAAATGTTAAGATTGTATAAGGGTTATACCAAATACTGTTAGTTAACATAAATCTTTATTGTAGTTAGATTAATAATATGCATGTGTAAAGTAACTTTAACCAAATACAGTTTTGTGAACATGTCGTTAAATTGTAATTCCAAACTAACTGCTTTGCAAACTTGCTGCACACGACATGCATGTTGAGATGCTGGTGTCCAATACGTTTAAAAGTTTAAAACACAAAGATATTTCCATGCTATCCAAGGGTTGTGAGGTCCTACGGGCGTTAAATTACCTTGATCAGTATCCTCATCCTTGGAGTCTGACTTCGAGTCGGATTTCATGTCTTTTTTGTTATCATTGTTTTTGTTTTTATTTCCGTTTCCGGTCTTGTTACCGTTACTGTCTTGACTTTGTCTGCGTGCTAACTTTTTCACCTGGAATCAAGATTGTATTGTTAATAACATCAGGGGAGTAGATCTCTTTGTTAACTACATTCTTTCCCTTTTCTTTATCATCTTTCGTATTTTATTTGTTAATAAAATATCTTTAAACATTCAGGCGTTAAGTGAAATTTCTATATAACCTATACTTTAATAAAGAGTTTGTACCCTATATCTTATATTATTAGTGGAATATTTCTTTCTAAAACCTTACAGTACACATGATTCTTTTAAATACAATATCAATTAAAAAAATAGGATTGTTCTACTGCTAGGATTATAACTGGTAACATCGCTTTCTATATTCTGTTGACAAAGGTGACCTATTGGTGATAAAGCGAGTGATGTGCCTGGACGTCTCTACACTACTACATTGTATATACCTACCTTAGCTCTCTGGTTCTGGAACCACACCTGTACCACCCGTACACTCAGTCCAGTCTCCGCCGCCAACTGTTCACGTACCTGTTAACGTAACAGTAACAATGTAGTCCTTGGATTCCTAAATATTTCAACGACCAGTTTAGCAAATTTAATATCATGAAGAAATTTCATTGAAATAATTTTTGACTGCAGTAATATGTTGTATAGATAAGATATTTTGATACGCCGTATGACAGAAGTTTGTCGCCTCTGTTGTTATACTTCAGCGTATGACTGATTGAGGACTATTGCTCTGTTAGAGTGTATGATACAGTGCATAACTGATAGAGGAGTATTGCTCCTGTTAGATGGTATGATACAGTGTATGACCGAGAGAGGATTATTGCTCCTGTTAGATGGTATGATACAGTGTATGACTGATAGAGGAGTATTGCTCCTGTTCGATGGTGTGATACAGTGTATGACTGATAGAGGAGTATTGCTCCTGTTAGATGGTATGATACAGTGTATGACTGAGAGAGGATTATTGCTCCTGTTAGATGGTATGATACAGTGCATGACTGATAGAGGAGTATTGCTCCTGTTAGATGGTATGATACAGTGTATGACTGATAGAGCAGTAGTGCTCCTGTTAGATAATATGATACAGTGTATGACTGATAGAGGAGTATTGCTCCTGTTAGATAGTATGATACAGTGTATGACTGATAGAGGAGGATTGCTCCTGTTAGATGGTAGGATACAGTGCATGACTGATAGAGGAGTATTGCTCCTGTTGGATGGTATGATACAGTGTATGACTGATAGAGGAGAATTGCTCCTGTTAGATGGTATGGTACAGTGTATGACTGAAAGAGGAGTATTGCTCATGTTAGATGGTATGATACAGTGTATGACTGAGAGAGGATTATTGCTCCTGTTAGATGGTATGATACAGTTCATGACTGATAGAGGACTATTGCTCCTGTTAGATGGTATGATACAGTGGATGACTGATAGAGGACTATTGCTCCTGTTAGATGGTATGATACAGTGAATGACTGATAGAGGAGTATTGCTCCTGTTAGATGGTATGATACAGTCTATGACTGATAGAGGAGTTTTGCTCCTGTTAGATGGTAGGGTACAGCGTATGACTGATAGAGGAGTATTGCTCCTGTTGGATGGTATGATACAGTGTATGACTGATAGAGATGGTATGATACAGTGTATGACTGATAGAGCAGTAGTTCTCCTGTTAGATAATATGATACAGTGTATGACTGATAGAGGAGTATTGCTGCTGTTAGATGGTATGATACAGTGCATGACTGATAGAGTACTATTGCTCCTGTTAGATGGTATGATACAGTGGATGACTGATAGAGGACTATTGCTCCTGTTAGATGGTATGATACAGTGCATGACTGATAGAGTACTATTGCTCCTGTTAGATGGTATGATACAGTGTATGACTGATAGAGGAGTTTTGCTCCTGTTAGATGGTAGGGTACAGTGTATGTCTGATAGAGGAGTATTGCTCCTGTTAGATGGTAGGGTACAGTGTATGACTGATAGAGCAGTATTGCTCCTGTTAGATGGTATGATACAGTGTATGACTGATAGAGGAGTATTGCTCCTGTTAGATGGTATGATACAGTGTATGACTGATAGAGGAGTATTGCTCCTGTTAGATGGTATGATACAGTGTATGACTGATAGAGGAGTATTGCTCCTGTTAGATGGTATGATACAGTGTATGACTGATAGAGGAGTATTGCTCCTGTTAGATGGTATGATACAGTGTATGACTGATAGAGGAGTATTGCTCCTGTTAGATGGTATGATACAGTGTATGACTGATAGAGGAGTATTGCTCCTGTTAGATGGTATGATACAGTGTATGACTGATAGAGGAGTATTGCTCCTGTTAGATGGTATGATACAGTGTATGACTGATAGAGGAGTATTGCTCCTGTTAGATGGTATGATACAGTGTATGACTGATAGAGGAGTATTGCTCCTGTTAGATGGTATGATACAGTGTATGACTGATAGAGGAGTATTGCTCCTGTTAGATGGTATGATACAGTGTATGACTGATAGAGGAGTATTGCTCCTGTTAGATGGTATGATACAGTGTATGACTGATAGAGGAGTATTGCTCCTGTTAGATGGTATGATACAGTGTATGACTGATAGAGGAGTATTGCTCCTGTTAGATGGTATGATACAGTGTATGACTGATAGAGGAGTATTGCTCCTGTTAGATGGTATGATACAGTGTATGACTGATAGAGGAGTATTGCTCCTGTTAGATGGTATGATACAGTGTATGACTGATAGAGGAGTATTGCTCCTGTTAGATGGTATGATACAGTGTATGACTGATAGAGGAGTATTGCTCCTGTTAGATGGTATGATACAGTGTATGACTGATAGAGGAGTATTGCTCCTGTTAGATGGTATGATACAGTGTATGACTGATAGAGGAGTATTGCTCCTGTTAGATGGTATGATACAGTGTATGACTGATAGAGGAGTATTGCTCCTGTTAGATGGTATGATACAGTGTATGACTGATAGAGGAGTATTGCTCCTGTTAGATGGTATGATACAGTGTATGACTGATAGAGGAGTATTGCTCCTGTTAGATGGTATGATACAGTGTATGACTGATAGAGGAGTATTGCTCCTGTTAGATGGTATGATACAGTGTATGACTGATAGAGGAGTATTGCTCCTGTTAGATGGTATGATACAGTGTATGACTGATAGAGGAGTATTGCTCCTGTTAGATGGTATGATACAGTGTATGACTGATAGAGGAGTATTGCTCCTGTTAGATGGTATGATACAGTGTATGACTGATAGAGGAGTATTGCTCCTGTTAGATGGTATGATACAGTGTATGACTGATAGAGGAGTATTGCTCCTGTTAGATGGTATGATACAGTGTATGACTGATAGAGGAGTATTGCTCCTGTTAGATGGTATGATACAGTGTATGACTGATAGAGGAGTATTGCTCCTGTTAGATGGTATGATACAGTGTATGACTGATAGAGGAGTATTGCTCCTGTTAGATGGTATGATACAGTGTATGACTGATAGAGGAGTATTGCTCCTGTTAGATGGTATGATACAGTGTATGACTGATAGAGGAGTATTGCTCCTGTTAGATGGTATGATACAGTGTATGACTGATAGAGGAGTATTGCTCCTGTTAGATGGTATGATACAGTGTATGACTGATAGAGGAGTATTGCTCCTGTTAGATGGTATGATACAGTGTATGACTGATAGAGGAGTATTGCTCCTGTTAGATGGTATGATACAGTGTATGACTGATAGAGGAGTATTGCTCCTGTTAGATGGTATGATACAGTGTATGACTGATAGAGGAGTATTGCTCCTGTTAGATGGTATGGTACAGTGTATGACTGATAGAGGAGTATTGCTCCTGTTAGATGGTATGATACAGTGTATGACTGATAGAGGAGTATAGCTCCTGTTAGATGGTATGGTACAGTGTATGACTGATAGAGGAGTATTGCTCCTGTTAGATGTTATGATACAGTGTATGACTGATAGAGGAGTATTGCTCCTGTTAGATGGTATGGTACAGTGTATGACTGATAGAGGAGTATTGCTCCAGTTAGATGGTGTAATATAGTGTATAACCAAGAGATGAGTATCATTCCTATTTGTCGGAGACGTACTTTTCTGCACGGCTTTGGGTTCAGCTCAAACGCGGCCTTGAACTTTCGTCGCTGACTGGTGGTGAGTATTGTTCTTGGTCGCTTTGGATGTTTCCCTCCGTCACTCTCTCCATCCTCATAACTCTCACTGTCGTCACCTGGGAACCAACAAGTGTGACACTTTATAGAAAACAACAAATATATTACATTTTAGAACAACTATCATTATCATAGCTTAATGATCTAATATGAAAGAAACGAAAATGAACAGAACGATGATAATACAATGCCAATACAGTAAGTGGCATACGATCAATTTATACCTCGAACTGTTCTTCACTAACACTATATGTATCTTTTTGTCTTTCGTCAACTTATAAACACAAGTGATAACGCCACAGCAAAAACTGTCTGCTGCACTGGAATATGCTTATAAAACATACCTACAGGTTTAATTTGGACCATCAATTCACGTTCAGACCTTTTCGCTTCTGTGAGCGATGCTATCGCGGAGGCTGAACACCTCATCTAGGCTAGTGCTGTTTCTAGACGACGTAACAGTCCATGCATTATAAAAAAAGTTCAGAGGAACTTAAAACAAAATAACTGTCTTATATCGAGCTTTATCATTATTTCCTACCTGGATCAATAGTCAGATGGGTATATATTACCCGTATTTTGAGTGCGCTAGGAAACGACCAGAATTGACGGCTTTGGTATATAATCATGTTAGATTTTCGGTAACCAAGACACATAACGACCTTTTACCGCCTAGACGGCAGCCTCGACTGCTTGTTGCCGACCGATTATCCCCCACGTTTGCCATCCCCAGCACGTCACGATCAATAATCCGGTCCGGACTCAGCCTCCTAATCTACTGTACACCGTGATTATCTAACTCCAGAGCTAGCGACGGAAGCTGTCATAACATCAGTCTGACACGAATGCACCCCATGTGGCTTGCCTTTACAGAGCTACCAATATGTACACTTGAATTTTTCAAAACACACTACAGCAAATATTTCGTTCGAAAACAAACTTTGTGTATCTTTAATACATAACGCATTGTTCATGTTAAAAAATGTTTTCCTGTTCTAATCTAATAGCGATAAGTATGTGCTGAACTTATACTGTCCTCAATATGGAAGTGATATATCTAGAAAAAGAACTGCACATGTCACAATTCATACGTATATAAAATGCATCTTTTTTAACTTTAACGTGACAGTATCCGTCAATCTTTGTCCGTTCATTAGTGTTTATAGAAAGTAATGCAAAACAAAGGCGTTCATAATTGTTTTACTCATTTAGACTTATAGTGGATGAAACATTTTGCAATCGGAAATCGATAATTTCTCCCTGTTTATAAAACAATAATCCAGATCAATATATCTCATTTTTAAGTAAAACGAAAGAAAAGTTGTATTTAGTATTTCATGGTTCATCCTTTCACTTTTTATTGAACACAATAATTTTACGGGTAAATCAAATATAAAATGCAATTATGTTATTCTTTCGATAATATAATTACATGTATGTGTACATAAGGCTTTTGATAAAGTTCCTACCATATGCTTGACAGTATTACTCATTAAGTATCCACTTTACAGAGACGTGGATAAACTGGATATTTAATGCACAACGGTTATGACGTATTTGTAATATGTGTGTACACCGACTATGACCGAGTAAAGACTGGATAGTGAAAAGATTCATGCAGCACAACCAAAAACGGTTTATATGTGACGTTTCGATGACTAGTACGATATATTCTCTGTCATCTTCATCAGACAAATGACCAGCGTCATCGATACATCACATATAAACAGATGTGGTTGTGCTACATAATTCTTTTCACAATCCATACTTACCAAGCTGATGAAAAATTTAGAAACATCCGAGTAAAAACAGTTTTGGAATATATCATTGTTGTTCAACAATTTATTTTTCATGAACTTATTTGCCTCAAGAAAAAAAAGCTTAATGTTCTAAAATTTAATATTTTAATAAGATTCCTGAGTATGATTTGTTCAGCAGGATATGTGTAGTCTACGTTGACCATAAGAGGATAATTAATTAGCATTTTTACTTCCAGCAGGGTACTTCTACTTGTTATATGTATGTGTGCTTTGTGATGCTTGTGATTTAAAAGGGATCAAATGCCAAATTACATACAAAAATATGAATAAAAACAAAAGCAATTATTTACAAACACAAAATTTGTGTGTGAGATATTAGTTTAATACACTTCTTGGAGGAAATGAAATTTAATTTAACTTTCGACATCAAATAAGAAAAGCCTAAAAAAAAATATATTGATACAATCAATATTTTATTTTGTATTGAATGATGTAGTTTGATATAAAGTGCATAAAATGCAATGTAGTATAACTCGCTGTTTGATTTAGTACGTATATTACCATAATGACGATATTACTTTTGCGATCTTGTTAACTATTACTGTATATTTACGAATTTCCTTTGTGTATAACAGTGTTATATCATTGCACATATCAAGTAATACTATTGTAGGTTCTGCAGACAGTTTTGTCTTATATTTTGCATGCTCCTGTATAATATATCAAATAACAATATATTGCATAGTTCGTGATATTGCATCAAGCTCTTTGTTTAAAATCAGTTTAGTATATAAGAAATATTGTTTGAAATTTAAGATATATTCAATGATATTTTACGTTTTTTGAATAGTAATGATGTGTGAGAGTACGAAGCTTTGTTACTTGTTTTATATGTTGTATATTGCATAAAAAGTTGTGTTACTTGTATATATTGTATATTGCATAAATAGTTATGTTACTTGTATATAAATACATCTGTGTTACTTGTTGTACATTCATATAGTTATGTTACTTGTATATAAATACGTCTGTGTTACTTGTTGTATATAGATACAGCTTTGTAATCTGTTACTTGTCTATGCATAAAACTCAGTGTTTTTCTGTATATAAACACAGCTGTGTAATTTATCATATATAAATGCACCTATGCTAAATTTATATATTTACAACTATTGAAGTTGTTGTTCAAAAATAAAGCTATGTTAATTGATATAAACACAGTTATGTTACTTGTTGTATATAAATATAGTTACATGTATGCTACTTTATATATAAATATAATTATGTTGCTTTATATAGATACAGCTATGTTACTTGTTGTATATGAATATAGTTATGATACTGTATATAAATACAACTTTGTAACTTGTTGTATATAAATATAGCTATTTTACTTTATATAAATACAGTTATGATACCTGTTGTATATAAAAATAGCTATTTTACTTTATATAAATACAACTATGATACTTGTTGTATATAAATATAGCTATTTTACTTTATATAAATACAACTATGTTACTTGTTGTATATAAATATAGTTATGCTACTTTATAAATACAACTATGATACTTGTTGTATATAAATATAGTTATGATACTTTATATAAATACAACTATGATACTTGTTGTATATAAATATAGTTATGTTACTATATGAATACAGCTGTGCTATTTTACATATAATACAGGAGTATCGATACTGACTTACTTTTCGGACTTAGAGGCAGCATGTGGAATTCCTTTTCATAATCCAACCGACAAAAGAGTTGACCGTCCCTGACGACGAATTGGTCACCTTTCTGTAGCTGCTGACCACATTCTATACACATGAAACACTGTAGGTGGTACACGTAGCCCTGGGCTCGCATCACCAGCTCGCTTGGCGACACGAACATCCCACAACCATTGCACATCACCCGGAACATTCTGAAACAAAGGTTGGGTTGATATAGAATATGAAAAACACCTTAAACATCACCCGGAACATTCTGAAACAAAGGGTGGGTTGAAATAGAATATAAACATATCATCATTCACATCTAGGAAAACACAAAAAGTTAATATATTCAATATGCAGCGCCCATAACATATCGCGAGGTACAATATGAAATTTCGTATGATCACTTTTTGTACAAATCATAAACAAAGTTTTATATATAAAGCAGAAAGGTTTAAATTGAAGCAAATAGGAAAAAGAATAGCACAGCGTCAACTAAACAGCAATAGAAATCTAGTCCTCTGCGGACGAAATAAATTCAATCTTTTCTGTGCCAAACGTATAAATCCCTTTTTAATAATTCAGCATACAGTATGTATATTTAAATTGAGATAACAACGATAAAAAGTTTGTTTCAGAAACGAAATCTGTAAATTAAAAGGTTCCATTCGTTTTTTAAATGCTAAGAAGGCGTGTTGGATATTTACTGTTGTACACTTAACATTGAATAGACCAATTAAAATAAGAAATTGTTTAAACAATTGTTTTACGTGGAAAGTGTATTGTTGTAATTGAAGTATACGTGTCGGATACCAAAACAAACCAGACTTGGACTTGGTTAGAAATCGTAAAACGTGGTTCGAAGTTATTCATGTGCGAAATTTAGTTTTGTTCACAAACAAAGGAAAAAACTATAATCTTGTAATTCGCCTTCTGAGAGATTGATGGTCACGTGTGCCTGTATTTCTGCTTCAACGACTTTAAAATAATTGCTTTATCAACTTTGAAATTGCACAAATGCTTTTCTTCAGAAGCTACTTGTGTTTTACGTTTACTGCACTAGGTAAACCACAGGGTTTTGTTCTATCAGCAAGCGTCTAAAAGACGCCGTAAATGAGTAGATAATGGAAACAAGCCTCCAAAAGACTAAGAAGAATAGCTGGATAAAACAGATGAGTTAGTGCGACAGAGAACGCTACTTTATGCTGGTGTTTCCCGGAAATGACAAGCGCTTTGGTGACGACGAGGCCCGCGGTGAATACAATCTGGAACAATAGTGGTCGAAGAGCCAGAACTAAAGAGCGGCAAATGAAATACTGGGGACAATGTTTGGCTGATGGGTTGGGAAATGATTCCGACAAAAACCCAGTGGTTACCAGATACGATCTTGTTTAAAGGGATTAGCTGCTAAAAGGCGAAAGCGAAAGGCGAGAAAGCACGCTTCTGAGAGCAACAAAAAGCTGAAAATATTATCTCTGCGGATTTCTTCCGTTCTGGGGGCGTACAAAACTTTTCCCTTTTGAAAAGTATAGCTGTATGCTGTTGGCTTTATATTTGCAAAATAAACAAAACATTAAACCAATAAAGCTGTTTAAAAATGAATACAGATATGTATGGAAAACGTTCAAAAAACAGTGACATTATTCAATGGCGATTCAAGTTCTTTTTTATAGAATTAGTTCATTATTTAATTTGATGAAAAAGATTGCTTGACTTATCCAAAATATATGAGGTCCGACTGGGAAATGAAAATAAATCTATATAAAGCAGAATACCTCTCGATCAGCATACTGTATACAAGGAAATGGATATATATCTATATAGCACATAAAAACAAAATGAGAACATGGAAGTCGATTTATAAAGACAGCACCTCGTCGAAATAGACAGACATCCACATAGAAAATTGTTGAAACCAGGAGCTCGGGAAAGGTGTTTCCTGTATGTACTTCATATCGGGCAGTCATTATGATGTCTCCCGTCAAATTCAGGAATGCTTGCAGGGCACAAACAATCAAAGACATAGTGGATACTGAAAATTCACCTAGTCATGATAACCAGTGTTATAATTGTTAGTGTAAAGTTAAGCCTCTCCGGTAGGTAACCCTTATTGATAAACACTATGCATCTATCTGGAATGTCACGATAACTAGAACAGGTTCCAAAGTAGCATGTGGGATGTGCAATCTATAAGCACCGGAAGCTGGTACATGTGTATGGTCCCACAAAGAAAAGAAGAATTAACGATCGTGAATTTAACAGTGTCTACGTTTGTTATAAATTTGCAGTGATGTGTCCATTATTGCAATTATGTAGAAAAAAATATTTTTTGATATTTTGTAAATCATTATTTGTATCCTAGATATAGTATAAGGAGCAAGGTTCTGCACAGGTTCGTGCTGTATCATTTTGTTAGACTGTTTTAATGCACGTGTAGAAAGCCCGAGTGATTATTTTGTTCTATCACGTCCTGCCGTGTTTCAATCAGACCATTATCTAACGCTACACAGATTAGATAACACATTTTTTATATCTAGAAAGGGCAAACAATAAATAATTGAGGGACGACCAACGTAAACGCAGTTTATCGCTTGTGTTTTATTACAAAGGGAACATAAACGAAAGTCCCCGTATTTTTACGACATCATGCATAATTTAGACGTTAACTTGGACGTCACACTGGTTAGATCGTCATAACGGGCAGTCGGGTACCGCCATAACGACCAGGTCAGGTATGATACACGTCCCCGACCTAGTAAACAGAGTCAATAAACCCAGCAGGCCCAGCTTAGTCCTGGAAATAATATCTGGAAAAACGTCAGTGTAATTATGTGGACAGTAATGCAGACTGTTGAGAAAAGCAGGCTCAGCGCAATAAAAGCAGCACGGTACTTTACCGTAATATACGTCACGAGCCGATGTACATAGATAAAGGTATACCACTAATTAACGTGATTTCAACGTGATTTAGTCACTGATACCTTTAAGAAATGCAGTTTCTTGAGAAATGGATATTTAATTTACTTTTTAACAAGTTTCGGCTACAATGCCTAGCTTTAATATTACGTATGTACAGCATTTTAGTTATTGGAATGCAAATGCTAAAACAAATCGTACAATAACAATCCCTACCTGAATAAAAATTATTTTGTTAACGCAGTAAAGTTCTTTTAAAAATCATTTCTACACTGCAAGCATTACTTATTGTGATGTTTAGTTCACAACACGGTTCATGTACATGTATACAATTTCTAAGAGTAGATGGTCTTGGTAATGTTTGATCTTATACAACTAACAGTGACTTCATTTACTTCAGAAATCATTAATGTAAAGCACCTTGAAAATCACAATATGACATGTATAAAAAAGCTTGTTTGTATCATAAAAGTCAAGCACAGGCATCTTAGCAGACTGGAAAAAAGTTGTACAGGTTTGAGAGATATTTGCTGTCGCGCTGTCGCTTAACAATACAATCAAAATATATTTTGTAACTTGGGGCAATCCAGACTTGCAATCAATGGATAAAATAGGGAAATGCAATACTGATGTGTACCTGCAAAAACAGTATAAGCCAGAAAAGCTCTGTGTCTCAAAGGAACACAAACCATAATTTTTTTACAGACATGCGTAATTTTCCCGTGATAAACATTGTTTGGTTGGAGAAACAAGAAAAGGATTACAGGAAGAAGAAGGCTCTACCTGGAGGAATGTTTGACAGTATCTATGTCGCCGAGTGCACACACACACTGTTTATATCTAAGGCATGATGTCTCTGATTTCGTGCCCACCAATCTATGGTCAACAACGCGTTCAGTGTAATTTCAACACTAGCCGGGCTTATTATTGTTCAAACTATCAAATCAGTTCATCTGATATAAGTTTGTTATGGTGTAATGTAACTTGTCCGTACTTTCCTGTCAATGTGCCTTGATAAGGGAACAGAACGACAAAAAAATGACAACCTTGAATTATCAATCCTTTCGCAATTAATTCCTTGTCCTATATGCCAACTTCAAGAAAATCGTAACATGTAAAAATAGGTTCATAAGGGTCCTGTATGTATATCTAATTTACAAGAATTTGATATCCTTAGTGCCCAACAAATACGACAAAGTCAAAATATTAAATATATTCTCATCTTCTTACTTCATTATGACTATCTCCCTATCGTTTGGCCGTCACTAATAACATCGTGAATGTAAAGAATGTATTGTTCAATGACAGCGTCACAATAGTAACTATGTACGAAATTATAAAATTAAAATGAAAGCGCTCGGGTTTTAAAGTTCTCCTTATATTTTGGTTCATGAACTGTTTCTAATTATATCAATAAAAATCAATGCTTTATGCTACATTGCATTAGAATCAAAGTAATCTCCTCGTCAAAACCAAGCTGATTCTGGTTAGTGGTTACCGTAATAATGGTATCAACACGTATTTAAAATTGATACACATGAACTAGCGTCATCTCACAACTACAAGTGTCGGGCATTAAGATAAGATTTGTTGATTTTTATCTTAACAACAGTAAACCCGTCAGGTATACACCACGATCATGCGATATCAAAACGTCAGGTATACACCACGCTCAGTTGGTATAAACCCGTCAGGTATGCACCACGCTCGTTTGGTATCATCCCGTCAGGTAAAAACCACGCTAAGTGGTATAAACCCAATAAGTAAATAACACGCTCAGTCGGTATCAACCCATCAGGTATACACCGCGCTCTGTTGGTATCAACCCGTCAGGTATACACCGCGCTCTGTTGGTATCAAACCATCAGGTAAACACCAAGCTCTGTTGGTATCAACCCGTCAGGTTTACACCACGTTCTGTGCGTATGAACCCGTCAGGTAAACACCAAGCTCTGTTGGTATCAACCCGTCAGGTATACACCAGGTTCTGTTGGTATCAACCCATCAGGTATACACCACGCTCAGTTGGTACATTGTACATGTATCAACTTGTCAGTTATACACCACGCTCGGTTGGTAGCAACCGTCAGGTATACACCACGTTCTGTTGGTATGAACCCGTCAGGTAAACACCGCGCTCTGTTGGTATCAACCCGTCAGGTATACAACACGCTCAGTTGGTATCAACCCATCAGGTATACATCACACTCTGTTGATATCAACCCGTCAGGTAAACACCACGCTCTGTCGGTATCAACCTGTCAGGTATACACTACGATCAGCCACGATTTCA